TGTTAGCCATTGCTCTCTCTCCCTTACTCTCTCTCGTTCACTCCCGTACACTTACTAACCCTCTCCCTGACTCCTGCGTTGGCTGCTTTGCTAACTCTTGTGCTGGCTTGTTCGTGAGGAAGTTGGTGGGTTTTAGTTTTCCTGGTCGTGCTGTTGTTGATAGGGTTCACTCGGAGTCTGCTGCGATTGCTCTCGGTCTGCGGCTCTCGGGCTCTCTGGGTCTGACTCTCACTACTCAACACCTGGTTGTGCTTTGGTCCGTGGGTGGTGAGGAATTGTACTATATTTTATCATATGTTTTATTTTCTACTATTTATTAGTAGTATTTGTATATATTAATTTAGATTTAATTAGTAAATAGTTCTTATCTCAATTTTACGAGCTTCCTTATTTCTTTCTTGTCCAATTCTTTCCCTCGGGTGGAGGAGGGGAGGGGGGAGGGGGATTTGTGAGAGTGGCTTCATGGTATTTTGCTAGCCGGAGTTAAACCACAACACTAGGTTACTTGGCTACCTGTTAGAAACACTTGAGGAGCTGGACCTTAAATGTTTTTTCAAGAGTTAGTCTAGAAACATGACTGTCGCAACTCTTTACCTGTATAGTTTTGGGATCCCAGAGCATTTAAGTGGTGGAGCAGAACACAAATTTACCAGAGAATGTTAGTTTTACTTTAATGGGATTTGGGCATGGTGAGAGAACACCTTGAATTTGGGGGATGTTGTCTTTTAGTGAACATAAGACCATGTGCATTTCAAAATAGGATTTATTGTAAAACACGGTATTAATTTCAAGTTCTCCACAAGTGTGCTTAACAGTGATTATGTAATTCAGCTTTTAAAGTGTGTTTTTCAGAATGATGTGTTTGCTGAGTGATGGTAGAAGCCCTGGTGCTAGCTTACAGTCCCTGTTTCATGAGTCCTGACTCCTTGTTTTGGGTGTAGCCACAGAAATTAATTTTCTCCTGACAGTTAAGACCCTTATCTGTGCATGGTGGTCACCTACCTACCTACCGCTTGCTGTGGCGGTACAGTTCAGAATGTTTAGGTCCTTGCCTGGAGCTTAAATGTTTGCTTCCGGGTGAGGAGAAGCTTTATCATGTTGAACTGGTATTTATGGGGCTGTGGAGAGGGGTGGCTGTGATGCCGGAGGGGTGTTGGGGTTGAGAGTTGGCGGTTAGAGGACAGGGCGATAATCAAGCTTTTTCTCACTCCTCTGGTGTACTTTGCCTGTGAGAGCTGCCTGTTGATTTGTGTCAAGTAACTCAGCAGTACCTCTTTTCTTTCTCCTGCAGGTTGGTACATGGTCTGGCAACTGTTTTTGTCTAAATTCAAATTCTTGAGAGAATTGATAGGTGATACGGGGTCCCAGCAGGGAGACAACGAGCTTTCAGAGACCAAAGCTGAACAGGAGACTCCACCCTCGCCTCAGACAGATAGAAAGACATCTGCTCGACAGCGAAGGGCACATGCAGAAGACACAGCATAAAGTGCTCCGTTGGGCTTCTGGTAACTACGAGTGGTTAAACACCTCTGCACTGTGTCGGTCAGTGGTTTGATCTTACTGAAAAACTGACTTAAGAGGTAATAGTCATACCTGTGGACCTTTGCTCCTGACCTACCAATGTATATTACTTCGGTAGAGGTTCAGGAGGGGGCTTCAGCAGCGAGTCGTGGAATACCGGAAGAAAGGAGGGATGGAGAGAAATCTCCATCAGAAAAATGCTGAAGTGCTGTAGCTCCTGTCTCTGCACACAGATTAAAACCAGGTCCTGGACCATAGGCTTAGCCTTTGCATTAGTCTGGAGATGGTAAATATTTCAGACTTAAAATGGTTTCTAAATTATTTTTTTCTTCACAGCACTGTAACTACATATAGTGAAACTGAGTTTTATTTCCTTAGCTAAATATGAATATATATTTTTCCTCAACCTTGAAAATGCATGTGAACTCGACAAACTATTGAAAGAATATCCTGCTTTAGAAAGTATTCTAAAGTGAGATTTTGGTTATGTTCTTGTATATATTAAAGTATAAATGAAATATGAAAAACCAATATTAGATGCAAATGATTTGGAGGCTTTTATTATCTCCTCTTTAAAAAAAAAAGGCAAAAAAAGGAATCGGGTCGTAAGACCTGTTTGCTTGGCTTTGATGTAAGAAGGGTTACAGGTTAAACAGTTCTGCTAAGTGTCTGTACACTTCTGCGCCTTTTACTCTGAGTCCAACTTGTGTTGGAGAGGGGAAGGTGCCTAGGTTATGTACTCACTGTTTAGTATTCTGAAGTGTCATCTTTGGTTTTTGGGTACTAAGCACGTCTCTCGTTCACGTTGTACACCTTCACGTCAGGTATGTGGTACCTGACACAACTCCTCTCCTGGAACCAGTTAAGGTGTTCTGACCAATTTGGTAGACGCAACTGTAACGCTTTGGTGGTGTCACAGCACTGAATTTGGTACCTCATGTTTGCTGGAGGACTTATTGGTTTTTACTGGCAATAAGCAGTTGCTCCTGTTTTCTCTGAGGATGAGTTACACAGCTATTTTGACATTGCAACTTCAGGATGAAGAGCTCCACTTCTGCTTATCTAGCAGCTCTGAAGATTGATGCGCGAGATCTTTGGAAAGAGGAGGAACATGCATGTACCACCTCTGTGTGTATGAGAATTACAAACATGTCTTGTCACAAACAGCTTCAGTTTTCTCCCAAAGCTTGGATATGTGGTGGTGTTTGGCTCATTGTTCCCTGTATAAAAACTGTTAAATAGGACTACAGCACTGAGCTGTGAAGAAGTTTAAACCTCTGACTTCCAAACCTGTGGCTTGGTCCATTTATACGGCTTAAAGCAGCAACGTTTAGCTTTTTTGTCCAGCAGGCCTATGACTGGGGAAACAGCACTCTTGTGCCTTTATGTTCTGATCCGTCATCTGTGAGTACAGCTCAAAAGCTGATGAGAGCATTTGCTTCATAAAATTATTTGGATGTTTCAGTACTGAAATCCGAGATTGGCCCTGACCTCCTTTCGGAGTCTGAGAGCCCTTGTCTCATTTACTAGCGTGTCCGTGTAAGCGTGCTTTGTTACAGGGGTACATTCTCAAGCATGGTCAGGCAGTGCTGTGCCGGTATCCTTTCAACACGTGTAGAAATAGTCTCCTTCCTCTGTCCTCTCTGCTGGCAAGGGAATGCCTGATGGCTTTTTTCTTAAGCAGTAAAATTCCCATTTATTCAACTTGGGCAAAAGCAATTGGATTCTATTCCCTGCTGCTTTCAACTGCTTGCCTTGCACAACTTAATGTCATGACAGTCTTGTACCCATAGGTCTCCTGTCGCACAGTGGGACGTTCAGTTTAGCAGTGCTAACCCAGTCTCGGTATGTTTTTCTTAATAAAAATCTGTAGTGCTAATAGAGGCTTACAAATAAAGACTATTTTTTTGTACTGACCTTGGATATTGACACTCCACTGCACTTCACTTCTGACTGAACTTTAGTGCACGGAAGGTGGCAAAAGGATGATGTTTGTAGTATCCCCAGCTGAGATAAGTTTCAGTTAACTCAGTCTCTGCTTCTAGTGGCTGTGAAGAAGAAACATGAAGCTACAGCACTATACGTGGCTAGTCAGGGTAGCTCTAGGATGCTGGAGCAAGTTAATGAAGGAAAAATCCATGCGGGTTTGCACGCAGACACTGGTTGAATATGCAATAGGATGGATGTGGAACCTCTGGGTAGTTCATCTGCTCCAGCCAAACAACTTCCCTCTCCCTTGCTGTATGTAGGTGTATGTTTCACTCCCCAAAGTTATTTTCAGTCTCTTAGTTTTTTAAACAGTTCATGCTATTTTTTTAATGTTGCTGTGACATAGCTGCCAGTAATGCTGTCTGCCTAGTGTATAACTTTAATGATCTCAGTAACAGGCCAAAGGTTTATATGAATGTGGTTTGGAAGAATTGTGGAATGCTGATGTCTTCTGTCCGTGTTTCCTGAAGGAGTCTGTAGAAAACCGTTGTACGGGGCACTTCACGCAAACCTGTGCCAGCGGATCTGTGTGTGTGAAAGCGTACTCGTGATCGGACTTGGGTCGTGATTGCTGGCAGTCCAGTATACTCACGTCTTTGAATATTTTTACCAGTGTACTTTGAAATGTTACTGGTGGGTAAGCACTTAGCTATGGGTGGACCCATTCAGGTCTGAAACCTTATGAAGGCAACAGGCTATGCAGTTGGTCTTGTTTTGTTTGTTAAGGTCTATTTTTAAAACTGTTGTTTATTGCCTTATTGTTGCAGCCATTCTCTTGAATGTACTTTGGGTTCTTGTTTTAAATACGGTCATATCACCTTTGTTGCAGGGGCTGTGTAACTTGGAATAAGCAGTAATTATCTGTGGTGTATGTGACGGTTAATTGAAAACAGTTACTGCAGTGAAGGCTGGCCCAAACACAGTGTGGACTGGTGGGGGGAAAAAAGATCCAAAAGCTATTGCTGAAGTTTGAGGAGCATTAACAGTTTTGTTTGTGCTGAATTGCATAATTCAGGCCTGTTAGGGAGCCACTAAGGTTATTATTGTGGTGATTTTATGTTTGCCCATGAGGCTAATTCTATGCAGTTCATCCACTAAGCACCACCGCTGTAGCTGTTTGCAGTAAATGCCATGTACTGTGCTGCAATTTGTGGGCAACTTGCTGCTTAATACCAGGTCTGACACTGAACTAGACCTGGGTACGTACTTCTGTGTTACCTGGAAATGACCAACATAAAGAATGTGTTCGATACGGTCATTTGCTTCTTCAGTGTTAACAATACTGTACCTAAAGCTTCTGTGGTTGTCTGTTTTCATTGTTAACTGTTCTTTTAACTGACTGCACAGACAAAAAAATAAAGTAACCAGACCTGATATTTGACCCGAGTGCTCTTCTGGCTTTCTTTGGAATGGGATTTCTGCCTGTAGGATAAGACCTCTTGTATGAGCGTGCAGTGCTGCAAAAGTCTTGATGTAAGTCACATCTAGCTGGCACAATACCTACAGATGACCTTGTCCTAAAGCGTGGGTTAGTGATGTCTTGTAGACCAGTAGTTATTAAAGGTGGGTTTTCTGCCTTGTCCTTGGAAGTTGTCAGTTTTGGCAATTAAAAAGAAAACAACCTAACAAAAATAAAACCACCTCCTCCCTCCTTTGTTTTTGATAATTTAATATTGGTTGTAGGCTTTGCAGTTAGTCTAAAAGTAAGTAGGTTGGTAAAGAAGGAAGTTCTCATTTGGAAATGATGATGTACAGAAGGAAATAAGAACATGCTTCATCTGACTGCTTCTGTTAAGTAAAATGCATAAACTGAATCCCCGGGTCTGTTATTGAAAAATAAGAGATTAAAAAAAGATTTAAGCAAAAGAGATAAAATATCTTCAATCTTGAGAGAATGAGCTGGTTTGCTATCATCCTGCTTTCTCGCTTGTAAAAATGGGCTACTGATGGAGTACAGGAACATGCCATGGTGTGTTGCAACTTGAGCACTTGGGTCTTTTTGACCTTGGAAAGCTTGTTTGGGGGGGGGGAGGATGTTTGGGGCGGCGTGTTAAACCACGACAGGGGTTAATATAATCCTGTTTGCTGCTCTATATCTCCACTGTGCCCAGAGTTCTACCAGAGGCTCTTTTAACTGGTACTGCTCCTTCCTCATGGGCTTTTGTGTGCTGTCCTCACGGTTCCCCTGTGGTCTTGATCTTCTACAGAGTCTTTGTGAAACACAAGTAGTGTTTCACCGTGCTTGGGTGATAGTTATGTGATGACATTCTGCGTGGGATTAGATCGGAATAGGCAGTGTGAGTATGCTGGGGTTTATATTAGACCTTTTAAGATGTGTATCAACTGTATTCTTCACGTAGATCAGAAGCTCTGATGTTTTGAGCATCTCTGCTATCCCTGTGGGTGTTTGCAGTCAATGAAAGGTGGTCCCTGAAAGCTGGATAGAATGGAGGCTTTTGGATGAGGTACAGCTATGGAAATCTGGGGGAGAAGCCTCTTGGAGGCCAGGAACCTCTCATGAGTAGAACTCGGGGACTAGCATCCTGGTTTTCACAAATGGGGATGCTGGGATGAAGGGCATCTTGGGCTTTATTTTCCTGCGTTTCCATTCACAGGGCTTTTCAGCTTCCACAATGGAGAATGGATAATACAAATGTTCCTTTAACTGTGGTAGCGGAGAGAACCTATTATCTAGGGGAGAATGGGACAGGGGCTCATCCTGGATGCTGGCAGGACGCTTGAATGCAGAAGGGTAAGAAGATGTGTGTCCTGTACCGGGAGGTGCTCACCTGTGAATTCCTCATGCCTGGGTCTGTGCTGTGCAACTGGTGCAGCCGAATTCCACCCCGCCCCTCCAGTAAAACCTTTGGCCTTCCATGCAGATGACTGAAACAACTTCTGCGCAGATGACTTTGAAAAGGGAGGATGCGCGTACCCTGTGCCCTCCTCAGAACCACAGAGGAGGCTGGTGTCCT